GAGCCCCTGTGTTTGAGCCCATGGTGAGCAGCTGCCTTGACAATCAAGGGTTATTATTGAACATACTGTGTGAGGTCAATAATCTACCAAGTGCCTGTCCCCTACACTGGGCGTCTCCAACCATTGCAGCAGCAAGAACGCTGCGGACGGGTTCAGAGTGGATCCGAAGTCACGCAGAACTTCAGTGCAGCACTTGACGCCGAACGTGACAGGACTGAACGTCTCGCTGTATTCAGCCCATGACAACCCTCTGAGAGCTCCGTGAAAGCCAGGAACTTGCCAGAGCGGACCCAGTCATATTCAATCATCGTAAGGTGCAGTTGTTTTACGGTGAAAGAGCAAACGCAGTGGAGTCAATGACAACGCCGGCGACGTTGGTGCCGTGTCCACCAATCCACTTCATCGCGCTGTGTACTGTGATCCGTTCGGAGATTGCAGACTGATTGCTTGTGAATAAAACAGATCGACAATGTCTGCACCGTGTTCGATTGGTTGCATCAGGTAAATCCCCATGCCGAACGTGTTATAGATGATCAGAGGGATACTATGGGCACATGCAATCTAAGCATTACTGTCAAACTCTGATCAAGTCTCGACAGTAAAGGTGATAACCTCTGCCAGTTCTGCTGCAACGCCTCGAGCTGCCAGATCTGCATCGCCGCAGGCTCGCGAGAATGTCCGCTGCCTGGCGCATCAATCCTACTGTATCAACCTCTGCGTGCATGCCGCGATGACGTAAGGCTCACCAATACGCTTCCGCAGCACGGCGAACGAGAGCGTGGCCAGACCTCGGCGCGGAACACAATGTCCTTGACGAGAAAGCCTCAATCGCGATGTTCCACTTGTACGCGACGTCACCCACAATCTCGGCAATCGCAAACGCGATCGCCTCGCACTCAGTGATGATGCTCTGCACCCCCGTGCACCTACAACGTGCTGGAGGGTAGTCTGTGCACGCTCGGAGAGAGCCTGGTGCAGGTCAGCGATACCGAACATGGCGCGGTATGAGTCTGTGATCTGGAAGTGCATAACGGAGTCGATATGGAAAGCGTGGTCAGTCTCTCGATCACTGGTGCAAGCATATAGCGTACATCTCGACGTCGACATTGTCGCGCATGATGGCTTTCTGTCTGCCGATGGGCAAGATCTGAATCTTCACATCGATAATGCGGACGCCCTCCGTGCATGGCTTTACTTGCACCAAGCCAGGATCGACTGAATGGTAGAGCTTGCTGGATCGACTGACGAGTCCAACGAAGCCGATCCGAATGTGAGTATTCTGAGCGAGTATGAAGATGAGGATACGTGCCTCCCATGATGTTGCGGAAGGGATTGTGTAACGGGCAACAGGGAACAGCGCTGCAGAAGCAGATCGTCTTGCCATCACGAGGTCACAGATAGATAGTGCATTGAAGTAAAAGCTCACTCCCGCATCCAACTCGCAAGCTAAAAGAGTCCCAGCTGCAAGGAATCATTAATCAGGAATGAGTCGTGCACGTGGATGCTTGAGCGCCCGCCAACGACATGATCACTGCTGCGTTACGCTTGCAAAAAAAGCTCGCAAAATGCGCCATTAATGTAATCAACGTTAGAGGGGTTACCGCGGGGTGCACTTCCATAGGTGTCCAACTCTAAGGCCATAGAGGCACTGGAGGATGTTCTGAC